CGCGCTTCTGTTCCCGCGGCCGCAGCGGCGTCGACTCTGGTACTTGCTGCGCCGATGCCGGCCATCGTTGAACCCTTCCGCACGGGGAAGCTGCCCCTCCCTCGGCGCCGCACGTCCACATCGTCAGCCCGCCTGCCGTGGGTACATAACCCCACCCGCGCAGTCCCCGTTTTTGGTGGTGCAGCCCGCATCCTTTGATGACCCCGCTTCTGGCGCCTCCAACACTTCTTTCGCATCTGCGTCGAGGCCGGCACCGCCACCGCCGCTGAGGGCCCCATCCGCCTACACTGGCGCCTCTTCGCCATTGGCGTCCTGATTCGCGCCGGGCGAGCTCGAGCTCGAGCGATGGATACCACGCCTCCTGGACCCGGGAACGCGAACGCACCTCCAACAACAGCCCCGCGCGCAGTAGCAACGGTGTAGGGAGGAAAGAACCCGAGCGTACCCACACCCAGGACCGCGGTTCGGACGGGCGCACTCACACCCAAGAAGGGCGTGCGCCGACGCCTCAGCTCCCCCGCGTGCTACGCCGCGCGCTCGCAGGCCCGGGCGGAGCGATCGAGAGGGAAGAGGCAAGGGTTGGCGAGCGGCGCGGGGGCGTGGTGGGAGTAGGGGGGGGGGGATGGGTGAATGAAGGGAAGAGGGGAGCGGGAGCGGACCCAAGGCAAGCGAAGACATGAAGGTGGGTGACGCGCCGTATGCGCGCGTTCAGCATGCGCTGCTTGACCCGCCTGTGCCTCGCCTCTGAGCATACTCTCGCGGGCTACCTCGGACCCGGACCCGGCGTCGTCGACGAGCTGCGGTGGTGTGCGCCGCGCGTCGGTGGGACGTTCCCGCCTGGGCATTTGCTCGCCGCCCCCCGCCTTGCCCGGCCCGCCTCAAACGCACACACGCACGAGCCTCAGCGCCAGAGACCCCGGGCCAGCCTCGGCACCCGCGTCCGCATCCGCGCCGCCGTACAAGACCTCACACGACGCATCCTCGTCTGCGTGCGCGCGCATCCCTGCCTGCCCGCGGACGCGTGTGTGGTGAGCTTCGTGTCGTGGCATGCGATGCACGATGAACGATGGACGTGCGTGCCGAGGCACCACCCTCGTACGTCCGCACCCGCCCCAGCGGTGTCGTACAGGATGCTCGGCCCCCGCTGGGCGTGTCTGTCTGGCCTCTTGTCTCCCCCTGCCCGCTGCGCTCACCCGGCATCGGCAGCTGCGTACCCGGACGCCGGGCGCCACACGCGCACATCATACGCGATGCGTACGTGTACGAGTCGGAGAATGCGTGATGCGCCCCATGTCGTGTCTGCCTCACGCCTACGTAGCCGCGCGCTAGCACTCCATCGCGCACGCTGCGGCATACCCCTGCCCCGACTTCCTCTCACCTACAACAAGCCCCGTCTGCATCTGCGTCCGCCGTGTTGCGCCCGGTGTGCACATGCAGTGCCTGCGGGCGTGCCTGCGCTTCGCTTCGCCTCGGATGTGCGTAGGCGACGCATGATGCGCATTAGCCGCACGGATATGCTCCCCGGATGCATTCAAACGGATTGCACACGCGCGCAACGGTGTCCCTGCGCTGCGCCGTTCCGCCTTGAGCTCGCGCGCCATCCAAGGGGTGCATCCTGTCTCTTTTCCGCGTGTTCTTCTCGCCCTCAGACTTCGCTTCGCTTCCCAATGCTTCGTATTTACATCCCATGCACTCACTTACTCATCTATGTACGCATCTATGCTACTGTTATTGTCGTAAATATTGCTGTAAACATTGTATTCGTTGATATGTGTGCGCGAGCTAAACAAATATTTCAAGATTTGGGATGTGGTGAGTTGAAGGCGCGAGGTTTTCCACCCAAGGTCAGCACTGGGCTTGCAAAATCTAGCTAAAACCGGTGATAGATGGGTGAAGCATACGGCGAGGGATGCGAGATGAGAGCGACGCCGAGTGGCAGCGAAATCCTCAGAGCAGTGCGAATACGAGGGGAATACTGCAAGAAAAATATACAGTATTTATACTGAAAATCTGAGGAGACCAATTAGGCAACCGCGCCGACCGAGTTGGCCACAACCACAATACTCGATCGCGGAAATCCAGTCGGTAAGTCTGAAAACGCGTTTATTTCGCAAATTATGACTCTCTCAGTTTTTTCTCGATTTTTTGTTGCAATTTGCAAGGCTCGAAACTTCGTTTCTTCCGCCGTTCTCACGCTAATTCTCCTGTCTTACATTTGTCTGACCTCCCACTATCAACGCCGCGCAGAATGAAACCCTAGAGATCTGATTCAAGTGCGGACAACCGAAAAAGACAAGGGAAAAAAACTCATTCCAAATTCCACAGCACTGATATTAGTGATGAGGCAGGTATAATAGAAGAAAATGAAACACAAAATAGAGCCGGGGATTGTTCTGACCATTGCTGTGGACTGGCAAAATTTCAGGAGCAAAACGTCCGTGATGATGAAGATTGGAGGCGTGAAAGTGCACTACTTAGTGTGGCCACCCATTTGCTGCAATGGTTTGATTTCAACCCTCGAGTGAGAGCAATCAGTATGAAAGTTCGGAATACGCAGGCATGTAGAAACGTTAGAAGGATGAAATAGCCGTCGATCGAGATCCCTTTGGCCACACTTCCCTAATAGGATTGAGTTCAACCCTACAAAACAAACTCCGTGATGTCCTTAGACTCGGGTAAATTGTCCTACATGCACGAGCGAGTTGGAGGTCACTTGGTTCAGGAAAACGGCGTGTTGGGGTCTTTAGTTGACCTGAGCCGCGAAATCCTGCTTTGAGGATGCCGTAGCTCGAAGACGGAATTTTGGAGAGGCGCCGGCGTCAGATAACCGCATTTGGGGAGCTTCTCTTCGTTCGAACTTCGCCGAGATGACCTTTCCCGCTCGGTTGTGTCGAGAAACAGTAAGCCGTGTTTTGCAGAGAATGAATTCCATGTCGAGTTGGCACTACATGATGACCCTTTTGTTCTTCTTATCTCGATTATTGTGGGGAGAGTTTGTTTCCGGAACTGCAGCATGCTCAACCCGACTGGCCCATCCATCCAGGACCTCAAATATGTCAGTATGTGATAACGGCGTGTAAATGGCCCATCTAAGATTCATTTTCTCCTCGAGGGATTGCGGAAGTAGCGAGATGAGTGAGGAGCGCCCGAGAAGCCCGTACATTCCAGTTCAATCCTCGGCTGTCGTGCATGAAAAGGTTATGTACCTGTTGACTTTTCGATTTAGACGTACACAACGTCCGGAATGAATTACGCCACGGTTGAGCCGCTAGACGGTGATAGTAACATAGGTTCTTGTCCCCAAGTCGAATCAAATTTCAACCTTGAACGGAATCGGTAGATCGAGTCGCGAAGCTCATCCTCACCTGGCAATACTCAAACCGGAATGGCAATGCTTATTGAAGTTTCCTCGGAATTCAACTCGCAAGAGGTGGAAGACCCGAATAATGAATAATTCATGTACGCTACCCCGGTAACCCAGAAAATACAGTAAGTATGCACCAGGGTATCAAAAATGTGAAATTTTGGTTGAAAGAGAGCGCGAACCAAGGTCGCCTGAGACGTCTATCCCCGGTCCCAACAACGGTGGGAACCCATACCGAATACACCTCCCCATCGACAGTCGCATGGAGTGTGTTACTGAGGTGGCTGAGGTGTTGGAACGAGATAGGCGAAGTGTAGAACGGTAGAACGTGTACCCGTCTGCTGGCGGACGAGACGATCCTAGCTCGAAATTCGTCGTGACCGAGCCAGTAACCGGCACAGCAGTGGTCCCCTTGGTCGTGGTAAAAGCAGAAACAGTTGCAGTGCTAAACGGATTCTTGACCTAAGACGAAGGCAAATAAATTTGAGCATAATTCGAATAAGTTGATTGCCTTGGCACGGGGCTTCGCGGGGGCCTTCTTGGGCGCGATGACGTCCGGGGCCTTGGGCAGGTCTTTGATGTGGCTGCTGCGGCGGGGCTCGCCAGCGGGGGCGGTCTCTCCGTCGGCGGCAGCGGCTTTTCTGGGCATGGTGGGTGGTTGTGGGGGTGAGGTGGAGGTGGGCAGCTGAACTCGCTGAAGGAGATGGCGGCAGGAAGAGAGACGCGTGAACTGTCCAACCCTTTGCCCTTGTTTGCGCTATGGTCCTCTTTTTCCCATCACGTGCGTCGCGTCAAGCCATCAACACAACTCACTCTTTTCGCGTTTATAACCGCATTTCACCTCTGGAGCCGCTGTGACCGCTAGAGAACGTGTCTTGTGGGTTTGCGATTGTGTCGGCAGATACTGTGCAATTTCGTTCAATTCGGCGGTCACGCGTCACGCACCCCCTGCGCCGCGATGAATTTTGGTTTCGGTCACGGGTCACGGCACCCAGTGCCGAATGTAAAATGCGTGACATCCGGGCCAAATCTCCCTCGGAGGTGCAAAAAAGGCAGAATTTTCGAAAATTTCCGTCTTGAATGCCGAATTTTTGGAGGTGTCACGCCAAACTTCGTTGGTTGCCGAAGTGCCGAATCGGTATTTTGGGTCACGGGTCATAACCCGTGCCGAATTGAACGAAATTGCACAGTATTTGGAGAAGGAAGGCAAGAAATGGGGTATAACGGCTTATTTTGGGAATAATGCACGGACCAGGTTGCGAGTTGTGTTGGATCCGTCCTGGCATAACCCCGAATATGTTGTAGACTCATCATGTCCCAGGTATCCAAGTACCGCCGTCAACCGTGAAAGCCGTCGTTGATCATGGTGATCACCTCATTTCAATTGCGTTGCTGAGCTTAATAATTACAATGAGTGGATGAAGGTTCGATTCCTTCCGAAGGCATTAATGCACACAGACGTTTTTTTCACAGTTGTTGAACGTGAGCAGGATAAGACTCAGAAAGCTAGCGCCGCACCCCGCGGCTCTATTTCGCCGGACCAACAGCAGCATGGTACAGTGGAGCCGTTGCTCCATTTTTCTGTGCATTCAGAGTATTCGCAGCTGACTTACCTACACCTATCCGTACCCTAGAAGCCCTCGTGGATCAAGGTGATTGCCCCTATTCGGTCAAAGTGCTAAGGGATGATTTGATCGCGGGGAGGCGGAGGTTCGATTCCTCCCGAGGGCCATGTCGGTGAACAGTATTTTTGGTCTTCCTTCATCTCCAAGTTTTGCTCGCACATGTACATCCAAAAGTTGAAGAGATAGGGCCCATTTTATCAAACGCTGGTCATTGCCACTGCCAATAGGGCTATGTAGTCACCGTGCCGTATACGGTCACGGCCGTGAGCAGTACGGCCGCATTAATATTGGAATGTGTCAAGAGTGCGCCGAGAAGCCCGTAGATGTCGTGCATGAAGAGGTAACTTGAAGTTTTTTTTTTGACTTTTGACTTTGAACTTCAGTGCGGTGACTGGGGTGCATTATTAATATGAACACATTTCTCTGACCCCACAATTTACTTGATCTGTTGAGCCGCTCGGCTGCGGCACTAACAGACATTCAGGCCAAAAGCCGAATTGATATCAACTTCCCTTGGAGCCCAGCCGGTTACCAGGAATTAACAGACCTCACCCTACCTCGATATCCAAGAGGATGCGCAGCTGAAACTGCCTAAGTATACCGTTCCTTCAGAATTCAACTCGCAATTTCCGGAAGACCCGAATAATAATGTTTCAGCATGAAAATTCATCCTATCCTATCCTACCTTACCCAAGCACCAGCTTCAACCTTAAAGCCGTCGTTGATCAGGGTGATCGCCTCATCTCAATAAAGCGGGTTGATTAAGCATGAGGAGGCGGAGGTTCAATTCCTTCCGAAGGCATACACCGTTGCCGCTTGAATTTTTTTCCTTCAACTATTCCGGCTTACTTCCTACTTGTCCGAGTAATACTAAGCACACCCTGGATAAGGGAAGAGAAATTTTTCTCCGTTCAGCGCACATCCCAATTCAAAAGTTGAGAAAATAGAGTCCGGGCCATTTCTCAAATGGCATGGAGTCGACCAAGAAGCCCGTACATTCTGATTTAAGCCTCGACGTGCATGAAGGGGCCACTTGAAGTTGTTGACTCCGAAATTCAGACGTACATATGTAGTGACTGGAATAAAATACGCATACATTTACTATGTATGCTGAAGACCCCTCTTGTATTACAAAAGTTGAATCAAATTCCATCGGTTCTGAACCGTGCATGGGTTTCAGCTTCGGTTTGTCAGGACGCGATATGTGCTTACCCTCTTAGTGCTCGACTCAAACCTGGTTGAAGACCCGAAATATGTTGTATGCGAACAATGGTTCACATGACAGGGGAAGCTTGCCAAATCCGAGTCAAATAGAACAATATATTTATGGTACATAAGGCTCAAAAAATTTATACTCACTAAGATTAAACCCATATGTTTCTAGATTAAAACCTAAGTCCTCTCCACACTCACAGTCCTCTCTGAGCATTCTGGTAGTGTCTGTCTCTGTTGGTTTCTGCAATCTAGCTAGAGTGAAAGATTGTCAGAATGCAATACCATCTATAGATTTAACTCGGGAGATAGCTACAAATGATAGCCCGGGTGTAAAGTCTTTGGCACCCAAGTCAATCACAGCTTGTTGTAGGGTGGCTGGGTACACCACCATTTGTGAGTAATGTTCTGTCAATGTTTATGAATACTGTAGGTTTCGACTGAACATTCAGGTGACAGGTGATGGAGGTTGTGAACTGAAATTTTTTGCTACATGTGACGGAGACACTGGCTGAATGAACACCTTATATTTTCATGGGCTCAGAGGGTGTAAAAATGGTTTTTCGAGCTACCTAAAATTACGGAAAAAAAAGGGCATAAAATTACGAATAAATGACTAGTGCTGCTCCCAAATCACGCCATCGTAGTGTTTGGCACCAATTTTTTTCTGCTGGCCCCGCCCAAGCACAACAGGTTCCTCCAAATCCTCCTCTTCAGGGTCCAAATCCTCTGCAGCGCCTGATTGGGCAATCCTGCCATTCTCGCTGATCACGAAATTGGCAGCAACAGCTGATCTGCACGAGTGGAGGAGACCCAAGACAACATCAAGTGGGAGTCGCAGTTGTCATACACTGTACACCACCAAGTCTTGATAAGCTTCTTCTTTGATGTTGGCAGGTGGAGTGGTGTCGTGGCCCTAGTTTAGCACTGCATGAAGTGTCGGGTTGGTGGTGTGAAGCTCTAAAAGAGCATCTAGAGCTTCGGGCAATGTAAGTGATTCTTGCAAGCAGTTCCATTTACATACAACACATTTCGAAGGCCTGCATAACACGAGACCCGTTAGATCCACAGCTCAGGAATCATTGCCAAAAATCTTATCCTCATAATTATGGCCAGATCATCAAGGCCATTGATTGCCTGGACCACCCAGCCGACCGAACAATTGTGCAGAGTCCCCACAGTGTTATCAAGCTTGATTTTGTGTGGGGCTTTCCTGGCCTTGATCTGTTTGAGAGCCTCCTCGACAATATCACAATGGGCGGACTGCCTGATACTGAGTTTCAGCAGGTGTTGGATACTGACATCAAGCGGTTGCCAGAGACCCATGCAGCCCCCTGGAATGAAGAGAAGAAAGATTTTGGGATAATGCTCCTTCATCCAGCCCAAAAAATCCTGCAACTTGTGGACCGACCAGCAGTTGATCTTCCAGATTGAGAACTGTGATGGAGGGAGCCCGAGCACCTTCTTCATGTTGTTGAAGTAGGGTGCGATGACGGTATTCACGAGTAGGTGCATGGTTTCGTGATTTGACCAATATGATGTTGTCTTCAAGGGGAGCATGGTGTAATGCAGGGTCTTGGCCTTGTCGGATCGAGGAGCTGTGGAGGACGGACAAGAAGTCGTTGTTTTCCCCAAAAACACCGCTTGCATTGGAAGCAAAACACCACTGGTAGAAATCGAAGGGACTAAGGTAAAGGCCTACTGACAGACCTGGGACTGGGGCACCAGGGCATTTATTCAAATTCGCTCAAGTTGCAACATACTATAATGTGTTACACTACATTACGACATCATCTCACAAGGGCTAATGCTGGCCTGGGCAGTTAGCTAAGAGGGATATAATGTGTCTCGGACCATTAGAAAGGCATTGGACAACAATCCTGGTAAAGGATTGAAGTGAGAAGTTGCTAATGGAGCAACCACAGAAAGTGCCTTACCATCCTGGAATGGATTGGGGCTACTGCACATCCTTGACTAAGGGCATATTACGAGAGATTATCCTTCTGAGCAAGAGGGCTTACCGTTGGACATTATCTGACATCTTCAGAACTGGCAAGAGAAGGTTGGACTGGGTCAATCCACCAATTGACTAAGAAACCATACTCGGGTACTGGGAAGCAGTGGCTATCACTGTTTTCAGACAAATCACTTAAGCAGTTCAAAGCAGAACCAGTTGGAGCAGATGGTTACCAAGGAGGGTAACGGTGGGCTGATGAGGAAGTCGGCTAAAAGTTGACATATCAACAATATCCCATCACGATCGGTCTAAGAAATGTAGATCTTGACTCATCGTTAAGCTCAGCTCGTCAATGTTTCTTATAAATCTGTTCAGTTTTTACTAATCTCTTGATATCTGACAGGAGTTCATCGGCTAGCTGCCATACCACTAGTCATATACCCTGAACCCTACCACGTGTTTGTATCTGTCTCGTTTATATTTAGAATCCTGTAAAGTATTTAAGTGGATAGTTATGGGAGGGACACCAGTGAATCTCACCCCACCTATTGAACGCGAAGCTACTAGGCTTCACGCTTAACCGGTTGAGTAGGCATTCATTCGGAGACACCTAGAAGCTATAGCAAGTTTTGTTTGTTTTCCCTGTTTGAATATTATCTGTGTTGGATTTGGATCTTTATAAACAGCGTGTGGACATATTGGATAAACAGAACATATGCGTGGAATATAAGGAAACAGATCAGACTTGACAATTGGCTGTAATCTCACAAGGATTAGCAACCGCGGATACTATTATAATCAGGATTTCTCAAGAATGACTTGCGTTTTGCATTGGAGTACTACCTCCACACCTAGACCCACATCATACAAAACCGTTGAACATAAAATCTCATCTGACTATCCGCGATTGCCCCTAGAACAGTTTCCAATTTATCTATACGACTTGTAGACCTATAAAGTCTTGCTTCCAAAAGAGAACTAAAGTTCAAATTGCCACAATCTATACTGGATTGGAACCCTGAACTTGCACGAGGATGATAATGTTTGAGTTGTTGTAGCTGCATTATCGAACCACATATTCATTTACAAGGTTTGGTTTGTGGTTATTTCACTGCCAGCCCCATAGTCACTGCTTCATTGTGGGGCCCACAAACAACATGGGCAATATTAATCATCCTCTCTGATGATCTGGGGCACCACTATGGGGTCTTGATTAGAGGTGTTCGAGTACTCTGTTGTGCTTGATTTACACACAGGGCCTTGCGCAATGGATCAGGTGACTCAGGTTTAGCAGTAGCCGGTTACCCCAGTCACAGTCGAGCTCACTTATCAACTATCTGATCATTGTTGCCATCCAGATTTGGTTACTTGGACCAGGTCAGGACGGTAATTTGCATATCTCCACAACCACTTGGCGGCTTGGGCTGATTAAGGTACTGGATCAAAGCCAGCACCTTCCTCTACCTAATACTGAAGGTCCTGAATGGGGACACAAGGATAGAAGATGGGACTGTCAACACAATCAAACGGGAAACAGTCACGGGTACACAGTGTACTGAACTGTTTCCCCATTGATGTTGAATCACTTCATACACTCGAGGGCAGTTGTTCGAGAAGATCCTGCTGCTCAGCATCATAACTCTCAGTCCTGTCTTCCCTCTTTTCCAGCTTCATATAGTGGCTATTGAGCTGATGGGTTAGAGTCCATTGTTTTGCAGACATCTTGTGCTGGACCCCCCTCTACTCTAGCATGTTTTTGTCATCTGCAATGAACACTAGTCAATCCATCCTGTTTGAACACGGTTTGAACAGGTTGAAACACATCTTATAATTGATTGATCGCAAGTTAGTCAGCAAAGTACATAGAGTATACGTAGGGTAACCAGGTCGCTCTGGTGACCTTGCTGGTGACCCCCGCATAGTGTAGCCAGAGTAAC